CATAAATACCAAAGAGTATGATTGCTGGATCATATGGTAAGAATATGTTTAATTTTGTAAGAAATGGCCATACAGTCTTCAAACTGCCAAACAGTCTTCCAAACTGGCTCTACCATTTTACATTCCCACCAGCAACACTGTTAGTTTATGTCTCTCTCCTTGTGCAGATATCATCCTTTCTTATATAATGAATCTTTGTTATTATATCTTGATAGAAAGTAGAGGTCTTCGCATCTTGTACTTTTTCTTCAACAGTGTCTTGGTATTAGCGGTGCCTTACATTTCTATATAAATTTTCAAATAATCTTATTAATTTCCACAAATAAATGGTGGTAATTTTGATGAGTTTTCACTAAATGTAGAGATCAAAGTTGTTAATTAACATTTCTAAAATTTTGAATTTTCTAATCCATTAATAATCTCCCAATTATTTGTCATTTTGTGTTTTTCTCAATAACGTTTTAAAAATTTTTCTGCAGATGTTCTATACCTATTTCTTAATATTTATTCCTAATATTTTATTTATTAATAACATTACATCTTTGTAAAATAATATTTTCTGGCTGTTGCTTGCATATAGAAATACAATTGAATTTGTCATACTTACCTTTCTAAACATTTTCATCTTAATTTATATTTTGATCCCCTTGGATTTTCAATATACACAATCATATTACCTATAATAATGACAGTTTTATTTCTACTCCATTCTAGTGCCTTTTTTCCTCTCTTACCTTATTACACTGGCTTTAATCTCTAGAAAAATATTGATTGAAGGGAAGTGGTGTTAGAAGGTGTCCTTGTCTTTTCCTCGAATTCAAAAGAAAATTTTGCAATATAATGTATAATATTGCGGGAAAGATTTTTTAGGTCCTATTTAATTAATAGATTAGGATCTTTATTCTTTTACTAGTTTGCTAAGTGATTTTATTATATGTTTTGTGGAACTAGAGTTTTATCAAATACTTTATTTTGGATCTAGTGAGATGATTATGTAATTTTCCTCCTTTATTCTATTATTGTGGTGAATTACATTGACTGATATTTCTGGTTCTGGAATGAATTCTATTTGGGCAATGTGTAGGATTTTTTTTAATAATTGACTATATATGGCTAAAATTAAAAGGAGAGAAAATACTGTGTTAGCACAGATGTGGATAATTGAAACTCTCTTTCTACTTGTGAAGTGTAAGTTTGTACAACCAATTTTCAGAATCAGTGGTTTCTACTAAATCTGAATATATGCATACTTTATGACTGAGCAATTCTACTCCAATGTATAGTCCTGAAAGAAATGTCTACTTGTTCACTGAAAGACATGGATAAATATATTCACAGCAGCATTATTCATAAAAGACAAAAATTAGAAACAATGCAAATATCCATCAACACTGCAATGGATAAATGACTTATGACATATTTATACAGTGAAATACAAAGCAGCAATAAAAATTGTGCTCTATTGTTACATGGACCAACCAACATGAATGAATCTCACAAACTTAATGTTGAATGAATGAAGGCAGATACAAAAAGAAATAATGCTGTAAGATTTCATTTATATATAGTACAAAAACAATCAAAATAATGGTTACATGTCCAGGTAGAAATAGTATACGGAAAAGGACTTGAGGGTTTACCTAGACTGCTCCTTACGTTTTATTTTTTGATCAAGATGCGTTCACTTTGTAATAGTTCATCAAGCTATACCTTTACTAATTGCTTACTTTTTTGTATATAAAAATTTTATTTAAAAAAAAATCAACAGACTTTCATAAGAATCCAGATTGTCTTGAAGATTCTGAATATTTTGTAGTTCTGGAACTTAATGCATAGAAATTGGATTAACTGGAGCTGAGTAGTTGCTGTTTCCCTTGGATGGAGCATGTGCTGTGAAATTTGTTGAAGTCTCCACCACTCTTTTATTACTAAATATAGATCTTAGCTAAATGTTTGTTGCCATTCATTCTTGCATTACTGCAGTTGTTTTTCTTATACCTGATCCGCTCAGTTATTATTATCACCTGTCTGGAATCTGTATGCACACTAGTTTTTACCTGGACTCCAAAATATTGGAAGAAGGATTAACCTTAGACAAAAAGAGGCTGCTTCTTCTATTGAGACATGAAGAAAAGTATGAAGAATGGATATAAAAGCAGATAAGTTGATAGGTGGCAGGAAGGAAGTCAATGAAGTTTTCTCTTGGGGCCTCTGTTTTATCTTGGAAGTTAGAAGCAAGATAACCTACTTGGAAGGATGTGGGATATAGGGAGGGATGATTTAAAAATTTGTTGAATGTTTGCTATGGAGATAGAAAAGACGAACAAAAGGGGGCGTACAGATTTCCCGGCAGAACCAAGAGTCCATTTGAAATTAAGAGAGATCAGTGATTTTTAATGGCATAATTTAACATATTTGTATATCTATCTCCAGTAATATTCAAGTGCCTATCAGTATTGGGAAAGAAGCCCTGTTGAAATGATCCAGGCCTGCGGTTTTGCAAGTAGATGTGATGAAAGAATGAGGTGACAAAAAATTTAGTTATCATGAGAAGAATGTGAAGTTATGAGCCAACAAGATATATTTATAAATATATATGCACTTATATGTATAATATGTATTATATTATTGATGGAAATTTAACATGAATTTGGTAGTTATTAGAAAACAACTCAATGTTGGTAGGTTATGAGGACAGAAGTTAAATATCTTTATGATTTTGTCCAGATATAAACAATAGTTAAAAATCACAGAGGCAAAAGTATCTCTTCCAGAATCATCTCCTGGGACAGTTCTTCTTTGGATACAACAGAGCCTAATATTAATTGCCATATTGGGAGACTAGTGTCCCTGAGATCTTTCCAGATTCAGTGTCCTGTGTCCTCTCCAAGTCTCTCTTGACTTGCTGATCTTCAGGGATCTCCATCTCAAATAACAGTCCCTGCAACCAGTACATGAGCCTTAGGACCTGACTTGTCATTTCAAGGTAATAATAATTTGAACCCTATGGCTTAAAGTTCTTTTTCATGTTACAGTGAGATTATCAGTGTGCAGAAAAAAAAAAAAAAAAAAACTGGAAAACTTCCTCTCTTTTAACTTATTCACTTCTATTGATGCCTTGCTTTTATATCTACAACATGCCTATGATTCTTAACTTTTAATGGTAAATTGAGATTCTGACTTAAAATAATGTTATTTGGGTGAGGAGACTTCATATGATGCACACGTGACATTAATTTTGCATCATGGTAAAATACAACTCTTATACAAGCCTAAAATGAACATATTCTTATAAATAAAGAAGCAGTTCATGTGTATGAATTGATCTCTCATGGCATTTCTGTTGATGTATTGTGTTATGTGTGTCGGATGGTGAGTGAAAACACAGGGGAAGTTGTCATTTGACTGGGAAGGGTAAGGTAGCAACCTTCAGGTCTCCTTAAAGAGACTAGGACAGGTGACATGGTTCTGGCTTTATCTCATTCCTTTGATAGAAAAAATTAGTACTTTTAGTGTAGCTAAATGGGTGGGAATTGATCATGAGTGAGGAAATGGGAGGAGAGTTATGCACGTATGTGTGTATTTGTGTTTGTGTGCACGAATATGTACGTATATAGTTGTGAGTGCATTTATTAGAATTAAAACACGTATATAAAACTAGTTTTCTCCTTAGGGGCCCTTTTATATTCTCATTTTACTATAATTTACTTTCACTATTTTGAGGGATCACTCGGTGACTTCATGCTGTTGTTAGATGTCCAGATCCCTCACCTGACCTTTCCCTTGACTTCATTTCTTTTCCACTGATTTCTGCTAAGTATAATTTTTACGTGAAAAGTTAAACTAATATAAGGTATTAATCACTGAGAATTACTTAATATATTTACTTTCATGATTAATTTTTATAACAAGTAACAAACAATTTCAGGATATGCAGTTATTATTAGGGAAGAATTTTGAGGCTTCAATGATGTTTACTCATGAGATGTAGAAAGTACCTATTTGTCTTAAACATGAATAACAGTTATAGTCTTTGGGAATATGCTTTGTGTCAGTGAATATATTTTAAACTTTTGCATTTATAACTGTTTGGACTTTTACAAAGCTCCTTAAAAATCTTGGCCTCTTTAATCTTCTAGAAGGTAAAAATTCCATGTGGGTTTGATGTACATTGAGGCAGCCTCTTTCATCCCACCAAAGACCCCTCCTTTCCCTACTCTTCATTCCCTCCACTCAGCTTCGACCACCTCTTCATTCAATATGCAATACCAGAAAGCTGACTCGTCCTCAACATCACACACCAAAGAAAGCAAGGTTTGTTCTGAGTGCATTACATGAATTTACATCATTAATATGCTGGTGGACTAAATGAGTTAACTAATCTCTAAAGAAAATATCTTTTTGAAATTATGTGTGCATAAAGATTTAACATTTAGATATAAATGTTAATATTATTACTTTCAGTCGCCAAATGTTTGCCATTTTATAGGAAAAATAACCTCTATAATCTCCAGAAGCTGGTTGTCATTTATATTATGAAAATCCTTGAAAAAAATTGCCCACCTCAAAATCACTGAAGAATTAAAATGTTCTTTATATATATTATTTACACATATTAAACATTGATATTACTGAGTTTTTTCCCCCATTTAATTTGAATGATTTGCCATAAGCTATATGCTTTTTATTCTTTTGACATTCTCTTTCTTCCTTCTTTATTTTTTTCTGTGATAAATTTTATCTCAGCTTCTAATAGTTATCTCTCAGGAAAACTCTTTGCTTTCACAATTAGCCTTCATGTGTCTGCACTGAGTCTGGTCTTTAATGTCATCTGCTGCAGCTTCTGAAGGGCACTGCCAAAATTTATTCCATGGGTCACTGTAATTTTTCTCATTGTTTCAAAGCGTTATTTTTAAAAGATTGATATTGTGACCAGTGGCCAACACATTATCCTCTGTCTAAATTCTTATAATGTTTTCCTCCTTTTTCTGAACAGGGTAATGGGCATGAACAATAGCAGCGTCAGAGAAGACTTCATCCTGGTAGGCTTCTCTGATCAGCCCAACCTGGAAAAGATACTCTTCGTGGTTGTTTTGGTTTCCTATTTCCTAACTCTTGTGGGAAATACGGTCATTATTCTGATCTCCTCCATAGACCCTAAACTCAAAACACCCATGTACTTTTTCCTCACTCACCTTTCCCTACTTGATATCTGCTTTACCAGCAGTATTGTCCCCCAGCTGCTGTGGAACTTAAGAGGACCAGCCAAGACCATCACAGCCCTGGGCTGTGCTGTCCAGCTCTATGTCTCCCTGGCATTGGGCTCCACTGAGTGTGTTCTCCTGGCTGTAATGGCTTTTGATCGCTATGCTGCCATTTGTAAACCTCTCCACTATGCAGCTGTGATGAACTCACAGCTGTGCCAGGCTCTGGCAGGGATTGCGTGGCTGAGTGGAGTAGGAAACACTGTCATCCAGAGCAGTGTCACCCTCTGGCTGCCTCGCTGTGGACACCGGTGGCTCCATCATTTCTTCTGTGAGGTACCCTCAATGATTAAGCTTGCATGTGTAGACATCCATGCCAGTGAGGTCCAGCTATTCGTCGCTTCATTGGTTCTGCTTCTCTTGCCCTTAGCACTGATATTGATGTCCTATGGACATATAGTTAAGGCAGTTATAAGAATCAAGTCAGTCCAGGCCTGGCACAAAGCCCTGGGAACATGTGGATCCCACTTGATGGTCGTGTCCCTCTTCTATGGGACCATCATAGCTGTCTACATCCAGCCCAATAGCTCTTATGCTCATACTCATGGGAAATTCATCTCCCTCTTCTACACAGTAGTGACCCCAGCCCTCAATCCTCTCATCTACACGTTAAGGAATAAAGATGTGAAAGGAGCACTGGGAAGACTATTTCACAGAGACCTAGGCTCGTAAAAAATGAAGCGGAGTACACAGTGGTCAATTTTTTATGGCAGAAGAGAACTGAACATCATCTTGTATAATACTTCACTCCAGAATTTTACTACCCTATAAGGAATAGATGTAATCTTTACAGTTATTAAAATCATAATCACAAAATATTGTCTTTTACTTGGTGTCAGATCTATCCTCTGCAATCTTTTTCCCAGGCTTCTTTTATGCCCTATGTAAGGCAATATTTCCTACACTCTCTAAATGTCTGTTATCCATATAATTTCTGTTTCTTGCCCTCCCTCCCTTCCAGTGTTTTTCTTCAGCCTTCCTCCCTTTTTCTATTGTCTCTTCCTTTTTTCCATTGTTCTTTCCTTTTTTCCCTTCCTTTCCTTCCTTCTCTCTTTTCTTTCTTCCTTCTTTCTTTTTTCCTTTTCTTCCTTCCTTCTTTCCTTCCATCCTCTCTTCTCTTATTGCTTGCTTTCTTCCTTTTCCATTTATTCCTTCTTTCTTCCCATTTGCAGGATATGCTTAACAACCACTTCCCCTGATGCTTCTACATTATATCCCTTCCCATCAATATTCTAACAATTCCTGAAAACAATTATCTCTAAAAATATTTTCTCATTTATGATGATAAAAATCCTTCATTTGCCTTGTGGTGTACAGTGGAGACTACACTAGAGAATTTGGTTTTAACTGTACAACTTCCTTTCTGAGCTTGTGCAAGTTTTATTGAACTGTTTTGTATCTAAGTTTACTTATGTGTAAAAACGGAAGAAGCTTTATTATTATGTTGATTAAAAAGGGAATATAAACATAGTGTAAGCCCTGACAGTTTTTCATTTCTGTAATGCAAGTATCTGATTTAAGCTTTGATTGAGGAGGCAACCACTTCAAAGATGACTATGTCAAAAAGACACATAGCCAACCACATGAGTAAATAAAGAGCCAGGCGCACCCCCTCCACCAGGCTCCTTTGTTTTAGAGATCTTGGTTGATTTAGGTAACTGACCATTTAGGCCATTGCTTTTCTCTTCCCATGCTTTTAATTCCCTATATTATGTTTTCACCAATGAAGAGTGAACTCACGAAACCCCAGGTCTCCCCCTTTGACCCTAATAAAAGCAGAATCCTAGGTTTGTGCTTTCCCTCTCGCTCTCTCTACCCTTGACCTCAGTGTATGGACCCAGGCATGCTGTGTATCCTCCTGGACTTGTGAGTAATAAACTTTGTTGTTTTTTCAAAGTTTCCTGATGGTTATTGTTGAGGGCATATTGCAGTCATAACAAGAACCACAAGGGCCAATCCAGTCACAATATTGCTTATTGATAGGCTGAGACCAGCACAAAACAATAAGTAAAGCATCTGGCAAGCAGTGATCAATAAATATCAATTAAGATCTTTTCAATCGTCTAATCCTCTGATCTTAGTATTCCTCCTATTTTGATCTAATATATGCTTATTACTTTCAATTGTATCCAAAATAAATTCTTACCTAGTCAATAATTAGTTACTCATTTATGTTTATATATAAATGTAAAAACAATCACCTGAAAATATGGAAAAAATATGTTAATCCTTCTTTTGTCTTATGATATGGAAAAAATATATGATTTATTTTCTCCACTCACTTATAGAAAGTGTGACACACTTGAGTTTAATGGCGATAACAGAGCTGAAGGTGTGATTTCCAAAAGGCATCTACTCACTGCACTTGGAATTGCTGTCTACAAGAAAACCACCCACTATATTAACTTGGCCAACAATTAATTTAAAACAGTTAATCTATAAAATAAAAATATCCTCTCAAATGTTTCCTGATGCAATGTAGTCATTGAAAAATTACTAGCACTATTCACAAATAATATATAATATTCTTATAAAATATATTCCATGATTAATGAAACAATTAAAAACCAATTTAAGGTCATACTAGATGACTTTACATCTACATTACAAAACAAACCAAGAGGGCAAGTATATTGAATACCTACGTGTTTGAGAAATTCGTAGTAAAAGACAGATCTATTGACTATTGAATAGTACTTTTAAAGAAGAGATAAAACTACAAATATGTGTGGAATAAAGAAAATTGCTTTCTGGTTAATAATGTCCTGAATGTGCTAAGGATCAGAGGGCATCATCTCTGAAGGATGGAATTCAGATCATTGACTTCCAATGATATGCATCAGGAATAAAAATAATACAGCATCTTACATTTTTATAACTGTATAAATCTCTATAATACAAAGTTAAGGTCCATTTTTTTCAAGTTTAGGACACATTCTTCTATTGCTTTATCCTCACAACCAGCATCCTAAATAGAGTTTTGAAAAAGAGTTCTGATTAAGCATAGTAAATTGGATAAAAATTTTTATCCCATTACTTTCCAAAAACCGTAATGATTACGTTAAGCTAAAAATGTTATGAATATGTAAGGACACATAGAACTGGAGGGGAATTGAGAGCAAAGAAGAGATCAATAACTTTTGGAACATAAGAAATAGATGGAAGGTAGTAAATGACTTATAGAAGAAAAGACGAAACCTTACTACTTTTAGAGGATCGGGAGGTGGGGAAGAGCAGCCAGTAAGAATAAAGGTAATTTGTACTGCAGAAGCCCTGAAGTAGCAATGGAAGTTTAGGAAGGTAAGCATTGTGTATCTTAGAAGGCAGATTGTAGAGTGAGGCTAAAATCGGAACAATTTAAAAATCTGCCTAAAAGGTGGATGTACCTCTAGCCCACATAACCAGATGAGAGCCCCACTCACATCAAAGTAGACAAAAGGAGTAGTCACCCTTAGAAAAGTTAAATCAGAGATCCTCTAGACTATTACACCAGGAATGGCTGATATTTGACTGTGATGTCACGCCAAAAGCAAAGAATTCTGTTAGCTGCTGCATACAGCATCCTTCCTTAAAAATTTTCCTCATTCTGCTCCTAGAACACTGGTAGCCAGCTTCATAATGCTCTAGGCAAGAAAACAGAAGTGTAACCTATGGAGAATCTAGAAGACCTGTGCAAAAAGACCAAAAGTGTACTGAGATTTGTGTTCTTCCAACAAAATGCTTTGATCATCCTATATGAAACCCCATTCATAAGCTTCACCCAAGTGCACAGCATTTCTAATAAGCTGCATTATTAGACGCATGCATCATGTCACTTCTGAGTAAAGCCTCTAACACACAGAGACAACCATAAATAGATTAAAAAAAGCAAGAGGAAAAACTCATGTAAGAAGTGGAATAAAAGAACAGCAAAAGTCCTTATAATTAGTACACTTAGTGAAAGTTCGTGAAACAAACAAAAAATAATGACTTAAAAGTAGAATATTAAGGAAAAAAGGGTGGTTATTTTAGCAATAAAACATATTAGAACAGTAAAAATAAATTTAAAAGAGAGAAGCATTCAAAGATAAACCTGAAATTTCCTAGAGAGTAGAGAAACAAAAGCAAGGAGATGAAAAATAGCAGAAGAAATTCAAGAAAAAAACAGAGGATGCATCCCAAAGGAACACATTCTAGGGAAAGGAACTGCAGGCAGAGAGAAAGAGACAAAATTGAGAGGCAAAAAGCATTTTTTTAAAAAATACAGGAATTTAAAGACCTCACTCAGCAAAGGTCTACCAAGGTAGGGCAGAGGGTGCAGTCTGCCCCAGGTGCAGACAGGAAGGGGGTGCGTTGTCTGTAGAGAATTTTAGAACAGTAATATAACCAACTGAAGTCAATCTGCTTTTTATTATCACATGAGGTGGCAGTTCTAAACAATGTCAATGATAACATATACTTTTCCAAAAAAAAAACCAGAAAAACTTTTGGATCTAAATTCTAAACAATTGGTGCAGTTTCAGTGTAGCTTTAATAAAAGAAGTTTTGACTTAGTGAATTTTTATTGCTTATCTTTAGTAAGTATTGCATTCTACCTGGAAGTTGAATTAGAGGACTCCCAGTTAAACAGTCAGCTTCTAACACAAATGGACTCAAGAGTACCTTGCTAATGGTTGGAATTATTCTAAATAGCTTCAAGCACAGCTGGGACTCCAGCCCCTGTAGTACTGCATACTTCTACATTTGAACAATAGATTAGAAATAAATAACAATACCACAGCAATTGCAAAAACGTGAGATACTTCAATTCTCTCTTCTGATATGGCCACTTCGAGTTTTATGTTTAAACTTTAAAACAGTAAAACAAAGTGTGAATTAAAGATGTCTTTTTTGGTAAATGCAGATTTAGTTCTTATCTAAAATATTTAACTGAAATTGACTACTGTCGGGGGAAGAGGGAAAATCTCCCTCTGCCCTTTCCCTTAAGGTTCTTCTGGCTGGCCAAATAATCAACAAGACAGGTTAGCAGGAGAAAATAATACCAAGTTTAATAACATGTATACATGGGAGAAAGCAGGGACACTGCGTGTCTCAACACAATAGCAGAAATTCTTGTCTTAAATATCATTTTCAGCCAATTACAAAGGAGGATTTTGGGGGTGGGGGGAGTCAGTTATAGGAGATTACCACTAAAGCACAGTAAACAAGAGTAAGGTTTATTATGTAGCTCAAGGCCTCACCTTCCACATTGACAAGTCACTAGAAATGAGCTCATCTCCCTCTCTTCTCCAAACAGAGAGCAAGATACCTTTACAAATGGAGATTTCCCTTATAAATGTAAATGATTGTCTGGCAACTCTTCGCAGGGTCATCAGAGAATATGGCCAGAGAGACAGAACTTCTGATAAGAGGGGCTTGTTGGTGCCTTTCCTATTGTAACATTTACTCTACATTATCTTTACAGCCATCATGATAGATCTGTTCCAGGAAGGAGCTACCATGTCAAATTCTTTAGGCAGTTAGTGGGGGAGGTCAAATGTCCCTAGAGAAAACAACCAAGGTAAAGAGAGAGATTTCAGGGTGGCCAAATCTTGATCTCCCACACTACTATAATTAAAATTGAAATTTCTTCTTCTTTTTAATTGTTTTTCTTAAAACTAAGGAACAAATAGAGAAAATAAAATATTACATCACTGGCACAATTGTTCCTTTTGCAGATATTTTGACTTTTATATTGTAATATTTGTTTTATTATTTATTTTGTATTTTTCTACTGACAATTATATATTCAAAGTCCAATGAAAGAAAATATTCTCTTACTACATTTCTTTTCTGGCTATAATTATTATTTAATTTTATGATTATTACTGAAAACAATTTTGTCATATAGAAGAGTGGGTTAAAATTATCTACTCCAGATGCCGATGAGCACACAGCAAAATGAAGCAAAAGAGACCCACACAAAGATATAATAAAGTGAGATTGCAATTACCAGCAATCAAGCAAAAAACTAAAAGCTACCAGAGTCAAAGATAAGGTGAGGGCTGAAAAGTCATAAATAAAGGCTGATAAATAAAAATGGCATTTGAGTTCTCGACAAAAATGTTAGAAATTTAGAACATAATGAAGCAACAATTTCAAAGTGTTATGGGAAATTTATTTCTTATTCAGAATTCTATGCTCAGACAAAACATCAATCAAACAAACATCACGAGAGAATAAAGAAATTTTCACACATGGAGGCTTTCATTTTTCTTCTTCTTGTTCCAGTATTCTCAGGAAGCTACTGGGGGCTACACTCCACCAAAAGGAAGAAGAAAACCAAGAAAGTCAAAAGCATGGAGTGCAGCACCCAAGGGATTTAATGCAGGAAAGAAAGAGAGAAAATGCCTAGTGAAGGAGTTTAGAACCTGTCACCCAAAATATGCCACTCTGGAATACTATTTTGAGTTAAAGGCACTTGAAAAACAGCAAATACAAGAAAAGCACTCTGACCTGCCTTCTTTTTCTTAAAAGCAGGAGACGAAATTCTCACATGAAAGACGTCCTCCCTGTACCAGCAGGAAAGCAAATTCTTATCATCAAGGTCAAAGACAAGAGGAGGTGAGACCAAGAGAATTTTCTAGACTTTGTTAAAATTATTCTTATCTTTCTTTAGCCTCCTCATATAGCCTCATATATTTTATTTTATACTTTTCCACAATTGCCTCTCTTTGTTCAACCTAATGTAAAAGTAAATTGGTTTTGCCATTTCTTTTGGTCTTCATTCCTCAAGAGGACTCCCTTGTCATGTAAATCTTGTATTAAATAAATTTGTGTGCTTTTCTCCTGTTGATCTGTCTTATATCAATTTAAATCTTAGGCCCAGCTGAAAAGAACCCTAAGAAGGTAAAGGTAAAAGTTTGCCTCCTCTGTGCTAGGATGGTTGTAAAGGCAAATTCCAGGAGGATGTGCATGTAGAGAATCCAGTTTGGAACATGAAAGCTTTAGCAAAGCCCATCAAGAAAAATGAGCTGATAGACTACCTGATGTGCTCAATCATTCTGAGATGAGCTTTACAGTTTTGTGGGCTATGTTAATGAAAACTGCAGAGAAAAACTACACACACACACAAAACTTTTATTAACTCAATGAACAACAAAAAGCTATGTGAGAATAGAAATTTAATCACAGTGCACCATACAGTTTAGCTGTGAAAACTGTCTTTATTATCACTATAATATAAATTCTGAATTCTTTAAAATTAAAGTATAATTATACTGGAGGATATGAGGAACAGGTGTGTGTGTGTAAGAAGGAATGATGTATTATGCAAAAAAGGCTAAATTCCTATCTCCCATAGCAGGAAGCTAAAAGATAAATATGAAATGAAAAGTAAAATGAAGAAATAGCCTACATCCAATCCCTCAGGAAATCCTGTTATCTCCAGCCTCAAAATATATCCAATATTTTACCACTTCTCTGGCTAAGACCCTGATCTGAGCCCCCACCATCTCTCACCTAGATCACTGTTTTAGCATCCATTTAATCTAATCACTTCCATTTTTCCAGGGAATTCTAAATACAACAAAGTATTTCTTCTGAAACTCAAGGTAGATCATGTCACTTCTCATTCCTCTGCTTAAAGCCCTGAATGTCTATTTCACGCACAGGAAAAGCCTAAATTCTCACAATGGCTTACAAAGGCCCATATGGCTCTCTCCTCTCCTGTCTTGTCTTCTACCACTGCCCACTTGACTCACTCTGCTCAGCCCTGCTGGCCTCTGTATTGTTATTAAAATGCGTCAGGTATCCTCCTGCTGCAAGGCCTTTGCTGTTCTCTGGCTGGAATGCTTTATCCTAGATACCTGCTTGGGTAACTTCTCCCTTTCCTTCAGGTTTTCAGATCTCACCTTGGCAAGGAGAGCTCTCCTGACCGCTCTGTTAAATTCTGCCCTCTGTGCATCTCACCCACCTGAAACTCTTTATCCTACTTTATGGTTTCTTTCATCCACAGCACTTATCATCTTCTAACATACTATATAGCATAATTTATTATGCTTATCATTTATTATCTGCTTCCTTTCCCTGGAATTTTTACTTCCGAGAGACAAAGATCTTTGTTTTGTTCACTGATGCATTGCAAGTGCACAGAGCAATATCTGGTACTTGGAAGCACTGAATGAGTATTTTTGGAAATACTGAATTAATTTAGAAATAGTCAAGAAAATGCCAGATATATATCTGAAAGTGCTGAAAGTACTTACATTGTGAAAATAGGAAATG